GAAGTATGGCAACGACTGTTAGGACGAACCTACCCTTTGCCATAAACATCGAGAGTTGAATGTCACAGCTCATAGCTTTGCTCTCATAACACGACCATTATAATGCCTATTATATTTGACTGCCCGTTATACGAGTAGTATCGTGGTCGTAAGTGTGATCATGTGGTCCCAGATTCGAAAAAGGACAAAATCTATTATTGGGTTTTTCTGTTAACATAATATCAGAAGCAGGCAGAGTTCAGAGTCGGCGGTATTTTCTGCCGACTTCCAAAAAGGAGACGGTACTCAATTCGACTGTATGTTTTTTTTATGTGTGTTACCTCATAACTTTTTACTGGGTGAACCGATTTGGATGATTTTTTATTTATTTGAAAACTGGTACTTCTCGTGTGGTCCCATATGAATTTGATCAAGGTCAGACCAATAGTTTTTGAGTTATTCTTAATAACTCATATTGAAGTCGGCTGTACAAAATTTTTAATTTTAAATTATACCTCCATTGGTACGAATAGAACTAGCTACTAGACAACTACTTGGAATCCTGTCCTACGCAGATCTCAATGGAGACTGGGTGCCGTGACCGAAATTCTACTATTAATAATGCATAGAATACTCTGGAATATTTGCTATAATTCATTTACATTTCTTCATTTATATTGAAGGAATAAGTCCGCTGCGTTCCTTGTATGCTCGATGTTTTTCTTCATCGACGAGCATGTACCATATGGGTAGGAAGATGAAGGAAAATACTTGCAATGGCACTACTGCACACTCTATTCCCTCAATCCCATAGTCCGATCGGACATCAATCTAAAACGACCGAAAGGGGTCAGGTGTAGAATCAACGGCTTAACGTGCTCTCGGAGGCACATACTTTTTGACACCGGGCTAGTAGCCTGACAATTTATTGATAGGATACCCAATAAATGATTTTGACCCAAACTGATTCGAACTCGGGGCAGCAAAATCTCTCTCCGGTCATAGTTTACCTTATTAAACTCCAGTCGTGTCGGATTTCCGTCCAATCGTACTATGAGAGTGAGGTAATAAAAAGCATTTGTGTTCGCGCACACACATGCACTAGAATATTTTAGTGTGCATTGTCTAGTCTCCATTTATACTATCCGCTGTGATGGAAATTCGGCCTGAAAGATATTATTACAACTGCAACATGATTGGATTATTTTTGCAGCCTAAAATCGCAGTGCCTGTACTTCTCTATTCTTGTGTAAAGGGTTACGATAGCCAGTAGCCAGTACAATAACAGGCCGTGAGGCATTCCATTTTATTCCTCAAAGGGTATAACGAATTTGTAATGTTTCTTTTTGCTTATAGTTGGCTGGTGTCCATGGGCGTTAGTAGCCACTTACCATCGGTTAGACTGTAAATGTGTTTGTTAATTTAACTTTACTCCAACCAAAAAAGGCCTATGCTGATAACTACATAGAATAGAGGAGAATAATTTTTATTAAATTTAGGTTTCAAGTAATTACTATCGTTAGTCATAAAACGGTCAGGCTAATCAATTTATATCGCATCTATTATACAGCTGCAGTGTCTTCTTCTATAGAATGAAAGTGATAAAAGAGCACACATTCCTTCTTAAGGTAAGTAGATACTATATCTATAGACATCTATTTTTTTTTTTTAAAAAACGTTACCCCCACACTAGGATTTTCTCCTGTAACGTGGAGGCAGTTTACAAACACAAATTTCACAAGGACAAACATCCAGACCCGGAACAATCATTTGTAGGCCATACAAATACTTGTTCCGTGCGGGATTCGAACCCGCGCCCCCCAGCGCAGCAACTCATTGCTAAGCCACTGCGCCACGGAGCCGTCTAATAATCTATATAAATTCTCGATAAATAATCAAAATGCATATACGATGTTACCCCTGAGGACTAATATAAAATGCCTCATTTGGTATGGTGTTTCGTATGGGTCTCTACACTCACCATACCAAACATAGCAGCATTATGCTGCTATTTTACGCTAGTATTCTGTGAGAGAGTGGTCCTTCCTCGGTCGACCTACTATAATATAACTGCAGCGTGGCTCTGCCACGTACAGCATGACTCTACTACGTACAGCATGGCTCTACCACGTACAGAACGGTTCTACAACATACAGCATGACTCTATCAGGTACAGCGTCGCTCTAACGCGTACAGCATGGCTCTCTTACGTACAGCATGGCTCTACCATGTACATCATAGCTCTAACACGTACACAATGGCTCTACCACGTAAAGCATGGCTCTAACACGTTTAACATGACTCTACTTCGTACAACGTAGCTCTCACGTCAAAAATATACTTACTCTTTTTCTTCATCAGCCCGTGAAAGTCAAACACTGGACATGGCCCTCTCGGAACACATGGGACATAGGTCAGCTTGACAGATGGATTAATATTCGCAGTGCCAGATGTGAGCACCTTTGGCACAGCTACCTGTCGCCGTTTTAGGTGTTTATGTATGGTGCAAATGAGATGATCATACCGACTATTGACAAAGCCATTTTTCTGGCATCCATTCCCATGGTGATCCATTCTTACGCCATTAGCATTATATTGTTATTCATCATCATCAACATTACAGCCTATGAAAAGAATTAGCTCCAAGAAACGACAACCAATGGGGAAGAAATTTTCTCGAACGGCAACCTCGTACCGGTAAGTGAAGTGTAGGGGGGTTCCCCACTAGATGGAGTGACGACCTGGGAAGATATGCAGGTAGTCGAGGGCGTTCTTTGGAGGAAGCCTATGTTTAAAAGTGTACTTATGAAGGGCTGCAATAATGATGATAGGTACATTGCTGTACATATGCCTCCCCCTTAGGTTGCTTCATAGCGGGAATGTTTACCATAGTTGCCACGCTTTGTAGGCTGGTTGGTAATTGCAGTTTTTATTTTTTTAAGTTGTCATCAGAATATTACTGCTATTATCTTCTATTTTATTTCCCTCGTTCACCTCTTACGATATCCAAGGGATGATATGGGATAGTGTAGTGCATATTCTTACACAGCCAGCCTTGTAGTAAATTATATTTAGTTAATAAATGTTTGCAAACATTTATGCATCTGCCAACATCTTGGTTTTTGGCACAGGCAGCAAATGCGACATGGCATTAAGAACTTAATTCAAAGTTGCTTACATTTTTTAGGGTAAAATAAAAGCAGGTTTAAAAAAATATTATTATTGTATTGTGTCAAATTTACAGGATAATCACTTAACTTTATAACGATCTGTATAAATAAAAATTATATCTATAAACTTTTCAGATACATTTATTAATTCATTCAATACAGTCTATCAGTCTTCTGCTAAACGTAAGCATCCCCATAGATTGCCTCAGATATTTGTGATAGTTACCACGCTTGGTTATTTTCTAGTTGAAAGATGTTGGAAGACGCCGCTGCCCATCTCTTTTTTTCCCTCTGTCCAGGGGACGATATGGGTTAGTGGATCTTCTTTTTTTTATAAGATAAGGGTGACAAACGAGCACACAGCCCACCTGATGGTAAGTGGTTGCTGCGGCCCATAGACATCTACATCTGTTCTCTATTACAAATCAAAATTCAGATGCGTTGTCACCCGTGAGTACTACGATGGAATGCCTCATTTCCAGTAAAAAGGGTCCCCGGTTCTCTACACTCACCATACGAAACACAGCAGCGTTAAGCTGCTATTTTACGCTGGTATTCTTACACCGACACTACACAATTAAAGAAAAATTTGCGTTATACTTTCCTATTACAACCTTTTTCTGAATTAAAAAACTTGACATTAGAAAATTCTCATGTATCGTGGAGGCGTTTAACAAACATAAAATGCACATGGAAAGACATCTTAACCATGAACATTTATTTGTAGTATTTAATACATGCGGGATTCCAACCCGGCTCGTGGATCCCGAGCCGAATACTTAGATACTGTGCTACAAAAGTGACATATAGATATCTCTTGTATTATGTGTCGGTCATGGCAGCCAGTCTTAGACCAGACTAGTCAACTGAGCAGTACGCGATTATAGTGCACGAGTGCAAGTGCACTCTACGCTCTCATTCTCAAAGTCCGATGGGACGTGGATTTAGACGTGGTAGAGCCACGCAGCAGTTATATTATGATTGTAGCACAAACGGGTCTGCTCGTCACGCTCTCACAGAATACCAGCGTAAAATAGCAGCTTAATGCTGTTTCGTATGGTGAACGTAGAGAACCGGAGACCCTTTTTACTGGAAGCCTCGTCATTCCATCTTAGTCCTCAAGAGTGACACCGCATCTGCATTTTGATTCTTAATCGAGGATAAATGTAGATTTCTATGGGCCACAGCATCCACTTACCATCAGATGAACTATTTGTCAAACTTCTTCTACAAAAAAAACGACAATGATACGTAACCAGACAGAAATCAGGCGCAGGATTGCTGGCTTAACATGCTTTCCGAGGCACGAGCCTGAAACACCGCTAACTTCTGACTTCGGACTAATAATGAGATTTTTTAATTCGAAAATATTAGCCCTAGTCTCTTGTGTCATTATTCACAGAGAAAATAGGGAAACAGATAGGTTTGTATAGACTAAACGCCGCCCGAATATGCTCTAAAAACTAACCTATTCCAACGTATGTAGACGTACTACTATATACAAAGTAATGTAATAAAATATACATTTATAAAGGCTTGTCTTACAAAAATCTTCATTGTTGTAAGACAATATAAATATTAACCTTTAAACTTTTCACATCTCTAGCTAACTATGTAACTAGTTAACTGACAAAATAGCCACGTAGACATTGAAGTATAATGTACAAGTAGTAAAGTATAGACGATTCATTTCATTACAGTTCAGTAAATGAACTATAATGAATTGAATGATCTAAGTACATTAGTACATATGTATGGTAGTACATTATAATTCAATCAATGTAGACTTATGCTAGGCGAAGTAACCCGTTCTCTATCTTTATTTAAAAGTTCAAACAATCAAATCTAGTTCTATCTGGCCGTGTCGTTACTTGCAGGTTGCTGGTCCTCTTTATTCATGATCTGCTGCAGCTCGTAATCTTGAACTACCTGGAATATCTTACTCTTCGCCTGGTTTAGATAGTACGGGCTGAACTTTCTTAATGTAGAACCTATCGTTATTAGGAAGACGTCCAATGGGTCAGCTGGATTCAATTCTTGATACGTGCTGTCATGGAGGTGGCCCGTGTCTTCTTGCGACCTCTTACTTCGTAAAGTGGATAAGTTCGGTTTGACTTCCCTATCCTGACGTTCGAACTCAGTGCCTTCTTCCACGAACACCTCAGCGGGCATCTCCACTTCGCAGCCCTCTGCACTGTTGTCCAGATAATCTGCATATTCATCGTTACTTGTGGCATTAGGTTCCCGGAAGTAAGACATCATAAAGGAGAGTTGCTCCTCGTACTTGTAGTTGTAACTGTGTTGATTAGGGTTCCGCAGACGGTCTTTGATCTTCCGACGCATCATGTCGCGTATGTTTACCCATCGCGACTTGCAGACTAGAGCTGAAAAACAGGAAAGTGGGGTGTTAGTTCTGCGCAGTGTCTCCATGTTATGAGAACATGCATAGCTGTGTTTCATCTCTGGGGGAGGCCGCTGATTCCTAAGATACAGACTCGTCTAGTTTAGGAGTCAGAGACTTCATAAATTTTAGTGATTCATTTTTGATAATAAAGAATTATTATTATTACATATCATTATTATTATAAATCAAGAGCAAGGATAAAAATACAGTATTTCTAGATAAAATTACGGTGGATTAATTATAAGTGTACCGTGTAAATTGCCGCGTAACTTTTCAAAGAAAAATACAACATAATGAACCAAATCAAGTCCAAATATATTTGCTTTTAATTAATTACTAAGAATTTTTTTTAATAACATGCTAAAATAAAACAATATTATTCTGAATCTGACTCTCCTAGCAAGACAATATCTTTTTCGTAAATGGATTTATTCGTATTCACTACCTCTACTAGGTATGGACATGATTTTGATACGATTTAACATATCGTTAGTAGGCCTGGAATCAATACAGTTTTTTGCAATTTCTTTTGATTGATTGCTGGGTGAAAAATATTTCCTTTTAATGTTTTGGTTAAAAATTTATTTATTTTTTCGTTTTTATATCTCGGCATTTAAGCACATTATGGTATACAATGGTATTACGGTGGCATATGACACGGTAATGCCATATTATGCATGGGTAAAATGATATTTTTTAATAAAAATATTGATATATATCATCGATATTTAAATCGCGATATTTCGATATTTATTTAGGAGTATCGAATTTGTATCAATTTCGATACATTTTAAAATGTATTAATGACAAAACATGTAACAACAAAAGGAGGTAGAAAAGTTCATCTGTGGTTGGTTGTCGATTATTTTTTTTATTTTCGTCGTCCAACCTGCAGTAATATAAAATTTTGGACCTTATCTTTACATCATGCAAATGATGATGATATATCGATACTGTTTAAAAATATCGATTCGATATATATCGATATATTTTTTTCCTTTGCCCATCCCTATGCCATATTACCTTGACAGTAGATTAAGACCAAATTACGGTGCATCTACAGTAATTACCGTGTACATGGAAACACTGGTTCTGCGTGATTACGAGTATATAGTACGCCATCTGTCGGAAGCCATAAGATCGTCTCTAGTCGTCTCGACACCTACGGGACGAAGATTCTCTTATAATGCGGTAGATGGCGGTAGAACTATCTCTTTATGTCAGGTATAAAACTTTTGGATTACATTTAGTAGTTCGTTTCAAATTAAATAAAACGGCACACTAATGGAATCACCGCGGTGTCTTGTTGTATGTTTATCTGTTACAGGTGTTTTTCGCTGAAATTATTTCAACAATGGAAATTTGACAAAGAAATCAAAAAACATCTTAATTTCAATAAAGAGGATGGCTGGGTGCTACCATCTGCTTGGGATCCTATGATTAATAAAATTAAACCCCAACCCAAGTATACAACTTCAAGACTTCAAGATACTGTAAGTTCATCTACGTGGTAGAGCCATGCTGCAGCTATATTATGGTTGTAGCACGAATGGGTCGGCTCGAACGGGGAAGGACCACGCTCTCACAGAAAACCAGCGTAAAATAGCAGCTTAACGCTGCTGTGTTTCGTATGGTATAGAGAACCGAGTGTAGAGAACCGGAGACCCTTTTTACTAGCAAAGAAACATTCCATCTTAGTCCTCACGGGTGACTACGCATCTGCATCTTCAGTCTTTATTGAGGATAGATGTAGATGTCTATGAGTCACAGTAACCACTTACCACCAGGTGGACTGTGTGCTCGTTTGTCACCCGATCCTATATAAAAAAAAAATCATACTGCGTAGATCGGAACAAAAATTTTAATCTAGAGGTAGCCGTGGTTAACTATGACATTAGGACGTTAAACACCACAGCCCCCCCCCCCCCCATGTCCATGGGTACTGTAAAGTGCTCGAAACGTCGGGAATATAAAATAAGTTAATATACGCGATAAAATCCTTAAAAACTAATTTTATTTAAAGTGATTTGCTTGCGATATGTTACAACGCAAAAATAAAAATTTATATCCGATACGTAATAGGCTGTGGCCACTCAAGCGTTCAACATAATATTTCATAGCATAAGAGTTATTATTATAAGTTATTATTTTAAATACTGCCACGTTAAATACTACATACTCGGCGGTGACGGTAAACATGGCGAGGAAACCTGCATATCTGATAAACTTAAAATACTCGTATATACTTTTTTTATATCTGGGGAAGAAAGGTTATAAAAGGCCGCTATGTATCGAATTTTCAAGTAAAAGGTTAAAGAATTATGTACTAGGAAAAGCCTCATATTTTTATCAAACTGGATTAAGTATAACAGAATACTAAGATGAGCAAAATCTACGCGCTAGAAGAGAATTGAAAAAAGCCCTACAAACAGCAAGAGCAAATGGTCAGCATGCAATATTTAGAAATAATAAGTTAATAAAAAAATATATAATAAGTTGTAGTGTATAAGTTTAATAAGCTGTTGTAGCATAGTTGTACAAATGGGTCGGCTCAACCGGGGAAGGACCACACTCTCATAGAATACCAGCGTAAAATAGCAGCTTTACGAGTATAGGTACTGCTGTATTTTATGGTGAGTATAGAGAACCGAATACCCTTTTTACTGAAAAAAGGCATTCCAGTTTTCCAGTTCCACCTTAGTCGTCAGGGATGAAAACACATTCTGTATTTTGATTCTTAATCTTGTTTGTCACCCACCCAAATTCTAATCTTGTGATGTCTTGTGATGTCCACACGCATTTGGAAATAGAGGCGGACTCTACATTACTTTAAAAAATAATCTTTGAAATAAAAACAGCCGTGGGATGAAAAGTAATGCCTTAATTACTTTTCCTATGTTTACCACATCACAAACACGTTTGTGCAATTTCTTGTTTTCCTTTAAACGCTTATATGCACGATGTATGACAAAAATTATGTAAACATACCTACTAAAACAATCAAGAACAAGGTAACATTATTATTAACATGGTAATTTGAGCATTTTGTAATAAAAATAAACCTTAAAATTCTACAAACAATCACAAACCATCGAGTACAAAAGTCACAACTCACCAGGTCTACTAAGCGCGTCTCCGATTTTCTGCCAAACGACTTCCCTCGAATCAAAGTCTAAATACTTCGCGTGTTTTGGATTGTAAATGATAGGGTTTTCCTTCACTAGTTTTATAAGTTTCAAGTCCAAAGTCTTGTTGAATGGAAGCGGCATTGATTACTGTTTCGATTTCTTTATATTCAGTAAAATTAGTTTACGTTAAGTATCTCGTACAATATCGCTGCGGACGCGTCGCGCGACGACTGCCCGGCCCCGGCCCGCCGTGCCGTCGTGCACGTAGCGGCAACGTCGCCCCGCCGTGACGATGCAAGTGCGTTTTTGTGGCAAGCCAATCTCATGTAAATACTTAAAGTTTGAATTTGATCAACAAAATTTAATTTTTTGATTTAAAGGGAACATAGTGCGGACTTAATGCCATATGGCATTCTCTGCCAGTCTACCCTGGGTGCCAAAGACAATTGTAGGCAGGTGCGAAACATAATACATAAATAAAGTGTATTTATATTAAAATATAATATATACATAGTACATACATACACAACATGTATTTAAATATATATATATATATATATATATATATATATATATATATATATATATAGATATATTTATATTATTATTGATAAACGTAGGTATTATATTATTGATTAACTTGAATTACTAGCGTCTATTAAAATGAAGCGTCATTTGAAATAAAATAATATTCCTTTCATGGCAATATAAGAAATAGTGCAAGGGAGATAGAATTATTCCATCTCACTTCCTTATATCTCCGCCAAGGCCGTCTACAATATGACACAAGGGGTAGTGACGAAAAAATCTTACACTTTTTGTCGCTTAGCACCCATCCGCCAAACCGATAATCCGATAAAATCCGATAAAGAACTTCGTTCCAATAATTAAAAGTCAATGAATCAAATTATAATTAAATTCCATAGGTCAGCGTTTAAACATTATTAATAATACATATAACTTACCTACCATTGTTACCATGTAAACGCACACGACGTTACGTAAACGACCGATACGCGGGACGGGTTTCGATTGTGCGGCGCGGCGTCAGTGTGAGTGACGTGAGACTGGTCCGACTCGACTCTGAATATGAATGCGTGACGATCCGATATAACGAGTTAGGACTTAGACACGTTCTTGTAAGTTATTCTCAGTTATTCTACTCTTTGTTCCATGCGTCGACTGTATTACGTTTTAGATAAAACACCAATGAAAGCTTTTAATTAATCATGTATTTATAAATATTTTGCTGTAATTGTTATGGACAGAGAGAATTTAAATAGCGAAGCTTGTGGCCTTCGATCCTGGACTGTAAAGGGATGCTGGTTGAGAGAAAGGGTGTTCGTTAAAGAAATTGCACGCCACCTCGTCACCGCCGCCTTCGTAGATCTTCCACGCTCCGGAGGCAGGTTTCGCCAAGATACAGACGACTTAACGCTTTTTCCTTTCTTTTGCGGACACAAAACTTCACTAATCACCAATCTGATCATATATTATGTCTTATTGTATTGTTATTAGTTTATATTATTATTAAGCCTATAGGCGTACACTGCGCCTCAAATGGAAAATAATATCTTAAATAAATAACTAAACCTGATAATCTAAATGCATATTGTAAATAATTAGTCGTTCAAAGAGTCTGAATTAGTACTATAAAAGTATAATATTACAGAAAAATTCGAAATTCAAATGCGACCAATGTTAAATTCATAAAAGTGTGCACCTAACACATAAATATGTGTATTTTGTTTTATTTTATTTTATTTTTTTCCTTCTTTTTTCTGTGTTGGAAACTATGTGTGTAATAAATCCACTCGTACATAATATCGGATAGTCATTAAGTTCTAGATAAATGGGAAGACTGATCTCCGCGACACAGGGAATCCTAGTGTGGAGCCCAGTCATACTGTTTGACATTGTAATATAATAAAATATGAGACTTAGACTAGACTAATATGTACCAAAACAGTAACTAAGTCAGTATCTGTATATTGTTTTTTGAACGGAATAAATATTTTTTATTCTTATGTCTTATATATTATTAACACGCGGTGCGGTTACTTTTTCCATTGACTGATTTGCGAGACACGGAGACAGTTCTCAGCGATATAATAATACAAAATGCATATAAAATAAACTAGATCGCGCCAACAGTAATAACGGGGCAATTTTTTTTAATCACTCAAAAACAATACTTTAATCTCTAGAATTAACAGTTTATTAATGTTAAGAGTCTCTTAGCGATATTTATTTGAAAAATTGTGATTTTGTAATGTAAGTATAATGTTAATGTTGGTAACTATACTATACGGAAGTATCCGACAGGGATATTTAGCCGCGCTACCGTGTGGTAGAGTTATATTTGTTTTCTTATATTCCACAGTATGTAAGATATCAGTTAAATTCCTAGCGCCGTGTAGTAATATTATATTAAAACTGTACCAAACCGAAGTTAGGAAACAAACATTATTATTATCCTGTAAAGCATCTTTAGCCGCGCTGCCGTGTGGTAGAGTCACATTTGTTTTCTTATATTCCACAGTATGTGAGAATACAGTTAAATTCCTAGTGGCATGTAGTAATATTATATTAAAACTGTATCAGACCTAAGTTAGGAAACAAACGTTATTATTATCCAGTAAGCATGTTTAGCCGCGCTACTTTGTGGTAGAGTCACATTTGTTTTCTTATATTCCACAGTATGTGAGATATCAGTTAAATTCCTAGTACCATGTAGTAATATTATATTAAATCTGTATCAGACCTAAGCTAGGAAACAAACATTATTATTATCCGGTAAGCATGTTTAGCCGCGCTACTTTGTGGTAGAGTCATATTTGTTTTCTTATATTCCACAGTATGTGATATATCAGTTAAATTCCTTGTGCTATGTAGTAATATTATTAGTGTTCGACCGAAACAGGATTTTCAACCGAAACCGAAAACGAAAACGAACCTTCGGTCTGGGTGTCAGTATCGACCGAAACCGAAACCGAAACCGAAACTTATTTAGACATGTTCATTTTTTTATTGTATACTGGAATCTGGTACTTATACATCTGGTTTTTATACATATACAGATCGGTAATGCATGTTTATCAAAACAGTAACTGTAATAGTCATGCAGCAATATATTTATTTATTTTCAAGTAGAAATCAACAATTTAACGTTAAGAAATAACATTTAAGTAAATTTTGTAAAAAAAAAACAGCACTTGCACCCATAAAAAGTTGCTCGCTAATTGAGAACATATTTTATTGTGTTCACAATATTGTTAATGTTATTCAATGAGAGCACTGACTTAATATATCACACTCACACACAATATACATTCACACACCTTAACGAAATCCCAGAAAATATACCAAACATGCTCAAAGTTTAAAAAATTTAATAAACTAAGTTTGTATAAAAAGGGTTATTATAATATTAAGGAATTTATCGATGATATTAACCCCACTATGGTGATCACAACCAAGCTATTTCTAATTCCTTTTTTGTTGTTAATTGTGTTATATACATGATTGTAAGAGTGGCGCAGCTACGTGTGGGCGAAGTAGGCCCTCGCGCACGGCCTCGCACTTAAAGAGGCCTCGCGAGACCCCCTAAAATGCGATGCCCCCAGACTTTACCACAGATGACTAATTAATTTGATCACTTTTACCCTTGAAAAAGTGAAAGTGTGTTTGTTTAGGGCCTCCCAAGAAGCCCCCCCATAAATGCGACTGCGAGGCCTTTGAAACTACGTTCAAAGGCCGTGATTGTTACATTGACAGAATACGAGGCTTGTCAGGAATTAATAATAGTAATAATAAAAGTTCTTTAAAAATCAAAATCTGAGCATGTTATTACTCTTATTATATCTTTTCAAAATAGTCTTTTCAAATACATGTTTTTTAAGAAGTTTTTCTTTTATTTTCGGAAATAAATAAAAATCGCAAGGTGCGAGGTCGGTGCTATAGGGCAGGCGACCCAGTAATTTCACGTCTGACGTCGCCAAGTAGTCGATTGTTTGCTTGACGGTGTGTGACGAGGCGTTGTCGTATTGAAGGAGGATCCTACTGCGAGGTCGTTTCTCACAAACTTTTTCCAAGACAAATAGCAAACAATTGTTAATGTAGCACTCAGCAGTAACTGTTTTTCAATCCACTGAAACAATTGTTGCGTAATGGCCTGTCCTTCCGAAGAACGAGGCCACCATATTTTTTCCCCACGCTTCGACTTCTCTTCACTTTAGTTGGCAACTCCTCGGAAGGAAACACCCAGACAGCAGCCTGTCTCTTAGTTTCAGGATCATAACAATAAATCCAGCTTTCGTCATCTGTAAGTATATCGAACACAGAATTTGAGTCACCTCCATTAAATGTTTAAACCATTTCACGACACCAATCAACACGATGGAGTTTTGGGACTCTGTCAAGTTATGAGGTATCCACCGGGCACAAGGCTTCCTGACTGTTAAATATTCATGGAGGATTTTGTGCACTTGACTCATACCGATGCCTTATCTTGTCCGAATCTGCTGATAAGTCACTCTTTTTGTCAGTCTCTATCACATGCCGCACAACACTGATGTTATCTTCAGTCGTCGCCGTAGAAGGCCGTCCCCAATGAGTTATACAAGACTAAATCAATGGCCGTCCCTCATGCAGATCATCGGTGAGATTAGTGCGACCACGTTTAAACTCATTAAACCAGTTATAAACAGTGGCACGAGATGGGGCTGCATCGTGAAAGGCCAATCGAAGTCTATCATATCTTTCTTGTTGACTTAAATAACATCGAAATTCATAAAAAATCAGTGTACGAAAATTTTCTTCATGCTTTTACGTGGAAGTGCCATGCTGCAGCTATATTAGTAGTATAGTAGTAGCACGAATGGGTCGGCTTGACCGGGGAAGGACCACGCCCTCACAGAATACCAGCGTAAAATAGCAACTTAACGCTGCTGTGTTTCGTATGGTGAGTGTAGAGAACCGGAGATCCTTCTTACTGGAAATGAGGCATTCCATCTTAGTCCTCAAGGGTGACAATGCATCTGCATTTTGATTTGTAATAGAGGATAGATTTAGATGTCTATGGGCCGCAGCAACCACTTACCATCAGGTGGACTGTGTTCTCGTTTGTCACCCTTATCCTA